ATTTTCTTTTGCTGCGGCGGAAATACGAAGGCCTCGCCAGGAAATGAAAAAAGAGAACAACCAAGTTTTTGAAAATGCCATTTATGTTAAGGGAAAAATGATAGTGTAGATTAATCAGGTTGAAAAAAAAAGAAATATTTCATCTTGCAATAATTTCTTTTAGTTTATATTTCATTTATTTGTCTATTTTTATTTTCTCTTTTGTTTTTGTTTTTTACTTTTTTTTGTATTATATACTTGTTACAAATTTGAAATAGATTTCATTACCACGGCAAAATATACATATTCATCTATTTCATTAGTGTTCCTTTCAGAATCTGCTCTGAGATTTAAAAAAAAAAACTAAGTATATACAAAAGATGATTGCTTTATTTCAAAATGTACAATTTACATAGGGCATCGTCACACAAATTAAGTGCAGTTCTGCCTTCCAGTGATTTTTAAAAATACAAACCAGGCAGCTGAAATGACGCCCACTGACGACTATAAATTGCGCAGTAACTTTGCTTTTCTAGCACTTGAGGTTAATGAAATTAAATCAGACTTATTACAAAAAGCTGGTAATGACAGAAAACTTGATGAAAGTTGAAACGTCTCCATTATAAAAAAGAAAAAAAAAGAAAAAAAAAGTTATTACTGTAGAGTTAAATTTGTTTTACGTACGTAGACGAGAAAAACATCAAGTTCAATGCTTTCAGAGTTTGGGTTTATAGGCATCTTCCCTGTAGAATTGTAGCTAAAGATCGTGATAATTCCCGGTTGGTTCGTAGGTTACTAATGCGCATGCATTCGTGTGAATACACCCGTATATTTATGTTGATTATGAAATTCAAAAACGATATTATCTGTTGAAAATTACATGAAAACGAAACACATCGCGGTAATTTTACAATTCTTGCAAAATACTCTCATTCTGTTGTTAACATGCCGATAAGAACAATAGTGATTTACCACCTTGCCCGCGCTACCCCTACCTGCTTCAATTACTTTATTAGTCTCGCCTCAGACTGGGTAGAAAGCTTTTCCTCTCTAAACACAGCCTTTCTTATAACTGAGGACAGTAATACATACGAGCAAGTCCTTTTTTACAAGGAAATCCACATATTCAGCTAGAAAAAAGCGGAAAAAGTATCCAAATATTTCGTATGTGAAAAATCATTTTCCATACAAGTATTTTCAGGGTTACGTTTCGATGTTCTGATCTGAATTTGTATCTGACCTCCAATCCATTCAAGTCGTGCGGAATGAGAGAATGAGAGCAAGCAAATATACATATAATTTACTTGTATTTCTTATCGATTTGTCATCAACCTTTCTACTGTGAATTATTATGCCTTCCTATAAAATTTTAGGGGTCAATACGTTGATTTCATATTGATAATGATGGTGATTGCAACAAGCTTGAATGCCACAGGGAAGATGCCTAACGCAAGTTAACCTCTTTTCGAAGATCGTCTTCCTGTTGTTTTATTCATCTAAACATTATGCAGGCAATTAAAGCAATGAGAATTATGGGTCATTTAGTCAGATATCAAGGTATTCTTGGTATGAACATAAAATAATCATTACAAATCGTGTACATTATATGTAAAGCTATTATTTCATCCACCAACATCACTTGCACATTATGTTAAACGCCAAGAATTAGAAAATGGAGAGATCTCAAAGAGATTACCCCGTAACATTCTTCCAAAATGGCACGTGAACGATACGTTCTGAAAATAGTGTTCCTTGGAGGATTCGAGAGGAAGGTGATGCATTTTTTCAGTACAGCTGATGGGCCTCCGCATATCCACGCACTCTCTGTACATCGAAATTCTGGAGGAAGTTAAAGATGAAGCTAAACGTCGGCCTGCCGCTGGGTGAGATATTCCAACACTTGTACATAAGTTCGTAGATTTCGTCGGGACAGAATTCTGGTTTGCTCATTCGATATCCCTGCTGGATGCTTGTCATTACATCATGTTTTGATAAGCCTGGAAGTAGACACACAGGTGTATTTATGTAATAATAAGTGTGATAAGTTCTGTATGTATCAATAGTACACATTTTCTCTCAGACATCAGTGACACAGAAAAAAATGGCTACGTTATACAAAACACCTTAAGGGAGAAGTTAAATATAGTGATCATAATGAGTCACAATTAACCACACTTGAATGATAGACATAAAAGGAGAAGCACCTCACCAGGATAAGGCACGCCACCCCAGGAAAATATTTCGGACAAAAGAATGCCGAAGGACCACACGTCGGATTTGATGGTGAAAGTATCCTTCAGGAAGGCTTCGGGAGCTGTCCACTTCACCGGAAATTTCAAATCTGTGGGTAAATGGATTCCACTCAACTGTCTATCAGAGAGGGAGATATTCAGATATATAGGTGTGTGTGTGTGTGTGTGTGTGTGTGTGTGTGTGTGTGTGTGTGTGTGTGTGTGTGTGTGTGTGTGACATACACATGGAGAGTGCAGTGCATCGTACTAGTGATATACATCTCGTACATGTTGCTAAATACAGATAGAATCGGGCAACTGGTGGTCTAGTCGGCTAGTCATAGGTTATGTAGATATGCATAGTTCATGTTGAAAAAATAGGTTATAAAGTGAACGAACAAGTGAAAAATTGAAAAAGATAGTGAGACTTCGTGAGCCATGAGAGCGTTTCGCGCTTAGAGACAACTGCCGTGAGTACAGCTCTGTTTCTGTGTTTGTTTAATGGACAACAACTAATTTCAGATCAGGAAAATGAAATTAGCGGAAGCAGCAGTTAGAATTGACGCTTTCGAAGTCAAGGTAACAGAATGCTTGAAAATGCGTGGAAAAAAGGTAAAATTTGAAAGAAATAGTGGATAACTTGCAAAGAAACACAACCATTCAGAGAGAGAATACTAAAAAGTCTGACAAGAAAATGAAAGACCTCAAGAAAAAGGTGGAAGAAGTAGAAACCAAGACTGGCCTAGGTAGTCAAATCGAAGCAAATAATCTAAATTAATAAAGCAGATGTAATATGCAAAATCCAAACTGGACCCCTCCATAGATGAAGTAACATTAGAATTCAGAGACTATAATAACTGGAGAAAAAATAGGGTAAATGGAAACGGAGGGGGGCAGCAATATTAACATGGGTATCAGTAAAATGGAGTTAGAGATTACACATAGTAAAACTAAAGGCAATTGAGGTAGAAAGAAACAGAGAAACCGAAATAATAACCATAGTATACATGTCATCTCACGTATTGGTGTGGTCACAAGAAAATTACCAAGAACTTTTTTAACAAATATTAAAAAGCCTACCATAATGCTGAACCTTTTGGAAACCAATACAAAAGAAATTCCTGCGATGGGGGATTTTAATAGAAAGATCTACAGGGTTAGTTTCAATCCCAGAACACAGTCAGATTCATGGAATGCAAAATTACTAGAAATCATAAATGAGTATTGCCTTTTCTAAAATGGGTAAGAGGGTTAGGCAGACCGTCTATTTTTTACCTAATATTCACAAAGCACAGTGAAGAAAAAGTGATCCTCTAGTAATTAAACTAAAATACTGTCTGCTTGAGAAAAAAAATCAATGTAAGGGAAAAGGGGGAAAAGCTACATGAGACGTAATTATAGTAGCAATAACAAAAAAATATGGTATAAACTGGGAAACAATCCTGGACGAAGAGAACATTGATGCACACTATAAAAAAATGCGAATTCCATAGGAAAGAAGTAGACAAGTTTGTATCAAGATTAAAAACTGAAACAAGAAATGGCCAAAAGTGGTTCAGTACTAAATGCAAGAAAATGAGAGAAAACCATGAGAGGGCGAAAGCAGACTTTGAAAAGGATTCAGTAAATTATTGTACAAATCAATAAAGCTCTTCTTTAACTACATAAATAATAAGACTAAAAGTAGAGATCAAATTATCGCTACGACAAACAACACTGCTAATTCAAAGAAGGAAATGTGTGAAATCCTGCATGAGAAATTTCAATGTTTATACAGGACACATACTTTAAAATAGAAGAGACTATACAAACGTAAATCGAAATATCGAAAACGTTACAGTCAAAACGAATGAAATAAAGGACCTTTTAAAGACAACCTTTTAGACAAGACTAAAGAAGAGGGATCAGAAAAAAAATCTAACTGGGTTCTTATCAAATGTGCTGAAGAACTGCATACTCTTTTATTGTTAATATTATCTCACCAGCAGTCCCTTACTACTTAGAAGACAAAGAAGACCATCAAAAGCTTGGAAGCTCGCCAGTGTTACACCTTTATATAAAACAAGTAAAACCCTCTAAACTGTAGACCAGTTTCGTTAACCAGTGTAATAAGTAACCTTCTAGAAAAGATGATTAGGATATAAATAATTTATATAAGTATATATATATGCATATATAACAAACACACACACACACATATATATATGTGTGTGTGTGTGTGTGTGTGTGTGTGTGTGTGTGTGTGTGTGTGTGTGTGTGTGTGTGTGTGTGTGTGTGTGTGTGTGTGCGTGTACATATAAAAAAAAAATATTCATACAATTATTCATTTATTTATTCATATATGTATATCCATGTGTGAGCCTGCGTTCAAATATGCATATCAAAGTCCGTAGTCCCTTACTGCTGGTCGGGTTATATTCCCCGTCTATGATTCTCGCCAGTCCGAAATCCGATACTTTACAGTGGAGTCCGTCCTTCACTAAGACGTTTCTCGCAGCCAGATCACGATGGATTAGCTGCAGCGACTCTAGGTACGCCATGGCATCAGCGACCTACAACGATGATCAGAAATTAGAGAAGATACATTTATGTTATTCGTGATATTCGCACTACATCTGGTCGTCGACACTGCATAGCCTCACCTGACAAGAGATGTAAATGAGATCATTAATCTCTCTCAACCTGCTGTTCTCATCTCGGAGGAAGTCGAGGAGGGAGCCCTGGGTCATGTATTCTGTGATGATGAGGATGGGCTCCTCGAGCGTGCACACGGCGAACAGGGTCAGGATG